CCTATTTTCGACCGATTTTCATTCGGTGTTATTTTTGTTTTTCTTATTGCTCTCTCCGAGCAAGTGGTCAAGCCAAAGAATTCTATGAGATTTAACAAACTTTGTTACATACATGTGTTTAATTAACTTGTCAGAAAGAAAATTCAAGAGACAAAATGAAAGTGGCTCTTCGACAAATGCAAGGAAATAGACGATCTGGATAAAAAGTATAAAAGCTGTAATTTACACAAAAAAAAATTAAAGAAATGACACGTTCCAGAAAAAGCACAAGAACGAATATCCTTACAAATGATAAAGAAAAAATGATTACTGATGCGGAGGGAAGATTATATAATGGACCAATTGCATTCAAAAGCTATTTAATGATAAAAGAGAGGCAGTGCCGTTAGAAACCATAGCGCGTACCGGACCACCAATATTACGGGAATAATTCATCTATGCCATCAAAAACGCAAAAGAAGACTTTTTCTTCTGGTAGCACTACAACCGGGGTGGGTCTTGGCTGACTGCACAACCTGCTTCCATCTCGAACGGTCGTCCATGATGTTTAAGTCAGTGGGTAGCTCCATTGTTCTCAAATCTGACCATATATTATCTCTCCATCGCATTCGTGGACGTCCTAAGGGCCTTCTCCCTGTCGGGACTTCTTCCCAGATTAACTTGGTAAGGCGGTTATTAAGGAGCCTATGAACATGGCCAGGCCCATCTTAGACGTTGGGATTTAATCTCTTGGACTACGTCGCTAGCACTATACATTTGTTTGACCTCGGCATTTGTTCTCATTCGGTATTGGTTAGTATTCGGATCGTGATAGGGACCGAAGATCTTTCTGAGGAATTTTCTCTCAAAGCATCTGAGTTTACTTTCCATTGCTTTTGTCAGCGTCCACGTCTCACACCCATACATGAGCACCGGTCTAATTACTGTTTTATATATCCTGATTTTTGATGTTCGTGTTAGGCTCTTGGATTTAATAGTGTTGTGGAGTCTATACATACATCTGTTTGCTGCCTGAATTCTCCTTTTATCTCTTCCGCAAAGCTACTGAAACAGATAATTGTGGCTGTATCTACACAATAGCTGTATTGTGTCAATACCCAAAAAGTGACACAATATGAAATTAGTGACACACAATTTAGATTTAGAAGTGGTATGGACACAAGAGATGCTTTGTTCGGCTTGAATTTGTTGGCCCAGATATGTATAGACATGATTTAGGACATGTACCTATATTTTGTAGATTTTGAAAGGACATTTGATAAGGCTTAACCTAAAAAGCTTGTAGGCAAAAATATTGACAAGTGTAATATAAAAATTATATCTAAACTATGTTGAAATCAAACAGCCAAGGTCAGAGTTAACAACCAGAATACCTGATATAGCAAAATACAGAGAGGAATCCGCCAGGGTAGTGTGTTATCGCCACTACTCTTTAATGTCTACAATGAAGCTGTATTTAAAGAAGTGTTTTCAGATTCAATAAAAAGTATATCTATCAAAGAAGAAGTTTTGAGTAACTTCAATATTGCAGACGATACAGTAATAATGACGAGTAAGAACAATGATTTACAAAATGTAACGCAACGCCTTGATGAATGCTGTCATGATTAAACTAGCAGATGTAAATATCCAATTAATTGTTAAATATACTGTAATTGAGAGTATGGATAACTACAAATACTTTGAACATGGATAACATCAAATACAGACCAAACCAAGAAATTAAGACACGTATTGAAATAGCACGTGCATCATTCGTTAAACCTAAAAAGTTTCTCTGTTGTCGGGATATAATATTAGGACTACGCCCAAGGATGCTTCGGTGTTACGTGTTTACTACTTTTCTTTATGGCTTGAAAGCATGGATATTAAAACAATAGCATCTGATTAAGTTGGCGCCTTTTAATTTATTTAAGTGTTAGCTAAAGAGTAATACCTAAACCTAACCAAGAAGAGTAGAAAATAAAGCTGAAATAATATTGACTAATCAAAACTATTGACGAAAACTTGGGTATTTGGGACATGTGATGAGAGAGCAATATACTGATTATTACAACGTATTATGCAAGGCAAAATTCGAAAAAAGTAAAATGTGGAATGACGAAGAATATCATATCTTAAGAACTTGAGGAAATCGTTTATATGCGGTAGTGTAGAACTATTTAAAGCATCAGTTAACAGAGTCCGCATAGCCATGATGATATTCAACCTACGATAGAAGATGGATCTTAAAGAAGAAGAAGAATTTAACTCGGCGACCTCGAAGTTCATGTGGATTATGTAGCCCCAATACTGCTCCTGGACAACCCAAAAATTTTCCTGATGGGGACAATCCTTAAATAGGGGACGGTGCGAGGAATACCTTGTCAACTACTATTGAGATCCAAGGAAGTGGACAAAGAATCCAAATATATGAGCTGATAGTACACATTGCCACCTTAAACATACGTAGCTTATTCATGTCAGGGGAACTGGAAACCACTGAAGCCGACATACAAAGAATAAAAATAGACATCTTGCGGATGAGTGACGTGGGATGAACTGGTTCAAGAAAACAAAAAACAAAAAACAGAAGATTTTATTTAGAAAAAACCGTCATAGAAGATCAGCTAGTCTCATACCTCGTCCTTATAAATGATCGAGTAGCAGTGTTGAAATTACGATCAACCCATAGAATAATTTTCATAGTATATGCTCCAATAAGTGACAAATCAGAGCAAAAAATCGAAAAACTTTATAACGACATAGATAAAATAATAGACTGACAAAACTAGGCACGATAACGATGATCATGAGTGGCTTAAGTGATGCCAATATTGGTCGGGGTGCTAAAAACAATTGGAAAGATAGACTTGTACAATTCTGAGTAGAGAAAACATATGCTAGTAAATCCCACAATACTCGTGGGCTACGTTTTAGTAATTTGTTCGATATACCTTGTGGTATAGATACTCTTCAAATTTTTAGTATTGTAATTGCATCTTCAACTTTTTGAAATCTTATTTCATAGTCTTTATCATATTCACCTTTACACAAATCACGAACTTGTTTTAATCAGAAGTTGTGAGAAATCTACCATCAAAGATCTTTCTTATATTAAATTTATTCTATTCGTTTCTTTTCTGTTTGTTTTAAGGTTTTTGTCGGTTTCTTATCTCCCTTGATCTTATCCTACATAGTTGTTGAGCTTTTCGCATTTACTTTTCCAGGAGGTACTTTTTGCTTTAGTTACTAGATTTTTTCTTCTCTGTTTAATCTTGCATATGTTCGTCTATCATCTGGGTCATTTTTTTGCAGCCAGTTTTGATATGCTTGCTTCTTATTGTATTGTAAATTAATGATCTCATTGGTCTCATTTAGCTGATTCAATGATTTATTATTTATTATATTTATTATCTCTTGGTAAGTATTCTGGCTAAATAAGAATTGTATTCATTTCATCATATTTTGAGAGAAAGTTTATTAATTATATTATTAGTAACAGCCAAACCTAAAAAAATCATCATCAGTTGGCGCTACAGCCCTTTGTGAGCCTTGACCTGCATCAAAACATTCTTCCATCCTTCCCTATCGAGTGTCTTTTTATTCCAGCCCCTCACTCCAATCTCCCTCAGATCCTCCTGTACATCGTCCAGATATCTGAGTTTAGGTCGCCCCTTTTTCTTCTTTCGACCGGCTTGTTTAGCATAGTTATTTTAGTGGGATCACTCTCATACATTCGCATAACGTGGCCCACCCACCTTAGGCGATTTATTTTGATGGTCTTCACAATATCTGCATCACCAAAAAGTCTATAGAGTTCAAAGTTATATCGCCTTCTCCACAGACCCTGTTCGTTTACTCCGCCATATATGGTCCTCAATACTTTTCTTTCAAAGACTCGTAGTAACTCTTCATCTCGGGTCGTCATTGCCCATGTTTCCGATCCGTATGTGAGCACTGGGCGTATTATTGTTTTATAAAGTTTGCACTTTGTTGCTATTGACATACTTCTCACTCTTAGTTGAGGGCCCATGCCAAAATAACAGCGGTTAGCCACGCATATTCTTTTTTTTATCTCGTTGAATGTGTTATTTTTGTAGTCTACCAGTGATCCTAAGTAGCAGAATTCTTCTACCATTTCTATCGTTTCGTGTTGCACCTCTAAGTTATTTTGTTAAATTCTTGATATGGCCGGCATATATTTAGTTTTCTGGATGTTAATCAGAAGTCCGATGTTTTCTGCGGCATTTTTGATAAGTGTGAAAGCCTCCACTACTTCATTTTGGGTTCTTCCAATTATGACGATATCATCAGCGTATGCCATTATTTGTATACTACGGGTATATATCGTACCTTTTAAGTTTATTCCCAAATCTCTCATAACTTTTTCTAATGCTAGGTTGAACAGCGTGCATGATAGCGCATCTCCCTGGCGCAGTCCTCTGTTGGTTTTAAATGGTTTTGAAACATCACCTTGTACGCGCACTTTACATTCGACTTTTATTATTGTCATTTTAATTAATTCTACCAATCCTTTTGGTATTCCTAATTCGATCATCGCCGAATATAATTGGGACCTGTCAATAGTATCGGACGCTGCCTTAAAGTCTACGAAGATGTAATGACAGTCTATGTCGTACTCCGTCGTTTTTTCTAATAATAACCTAAAAAAATCGCATTAGTTATATTACAGCTTCAGAATTGCAATTGCCCCATTTTTGTCGAGATATATTTTTATTGGCCTATATTTTTGAGCATTAGTTTTAATGTTTTTGTTATGTTTTAAATAAAATTTACAATTTGAGAATAAAAAATCAAATTTAATTTTTTATTTATATCCCTAGGTGAAAGTATGGTTCCAAAATAGACGAATGAAACACAAACGACAAACGCTAGGTAAACAAGGAGAAGACGGCGACGACAAAGACTCGGTGACCAGCGAGGGTGGCAAAAGCGCTAAACTTTCTGACAAATTTCTCGAAGAGGAAATGTCTAAAAAGAGCTGTCAAGGTTGCGAGATGCCGTCAGCCGGTTTGTGTAATTCCCATGAAGAAATGTCTGACGTTTCATCTACTAGAGGCAACAATAACAACACACCCAGTGCTACAAACAATAATACCAATTTTAATAACAACAGTAATGGTAAGTGCAATTACTTTTAAAGTCTTGAAGTATATTTATCCTTCTTACGAAGGTCGATTACTACAATTATCAGACTTAAATTAGGATACGCTTGCTATCTTCAACAGTATTTTAAAATTAGTATTGTATCAACTATTAATGTATACAAATTGGTCAATAATGTGGTCTTAAATACTCTTTATTCGAATTATTAAAACATATAAATCAATCTATATAATCTTTAATTTAAATATTTTAGCTCCTTTCAATATTATGTTCAGCATATCTATAAAAAATACAAAATTGTGTGAATCTGTGATCGATCTTTTGGATTAATTTTCAGTCCTATTGTTTTTTATTTCGTTATTTTATCTACCTTTTGTAATCAAAGTTTTGTATGACATTCTAACCATGTGTTTCCTTTGTTGTTCATCATCATCCTCAACCTGTTTGATGTCTGGTTATCTCTGTTCAACCAAATTTCATGTCCTAAGTACTCATATAGGTTCTACATAATATCCCTTTCATTAACAGCAATATTTCGATTTGGCACCCGATTAGTCATTATTTGCGTCTTGATCTTACTAACCTTTAGTCAGACTTCTAAGGAACATTATTATCATTCAGTGTGTGTTGTTATCATTCATTTTATAATTTTATGGTTAAATTGGAGTGGAGATTTAAGAGAATGACTATGATGTGTCTTGTTAAGAAGGTAATATTCTCATATACGTGACTGACAAAAAAAAATATATCATCAAAAAAGTCTTTTGTACAAAAATACATATTTTGTTTTCGTAGCAATATAGGTAGTAAGGTCTGAAGATAACACTGGTTTGCAAAAAAAATGTTCTCCTTATTGTTTTCATGCATTATAACGTTATTTTCTGCTGATTTAAAAGCAGAGTTACCATGGGAATTAATAGCATACAGACTTTTCCTATAATTTAATAAAAAAACGATAATACCTGTTATAGTAATAACAACTATAAAAAAGTACTATTTTTAAGTTTTTTAGTAAAACTACTATTTTTAGGTATTGGTCATGAAAATTTTACTAAATCTCATTCTTCTTCTTCTAGTTCTAACTCCACTAATAAAGTTTGGCTATTTCTTCTTGATGTGCCTATCCGTTACGAATGTTGGTGATCATCATGGCAATCTTTATCTTATCAGCAGCAGCGCGGAAAAGCTGCACAGATGTTGTATTGAACCAGATAGTTTGGTTAGGTTTGGCTATAATCATTGCAAATTTTTCTTTATCTTCTGCTTTTCATAAAAGCGTCTGTGTATTTAACCCGGTCCAGTGTTGAATGATTTTCAGCCAGGATATTTTTAGTTTACCAGGTGCCATTTTTTCTTTTGATTTTGTTCTTCATAATCAATTGCAACAACTTGTACTGCCCATTTAAGTACGTATTCCAAAATATGCTTTCTTCCTCCTTTTAATGGTGGTCAAAAGGTCTTTTTCTTTTTCCATTCTGTACATCACCTATTTTGTTCGTAATATAACCGATCCATGGTATTTGCAAAATTCTTCTAAAAAGCCACATTTTTTCCAGCTTTCTATCAAGTTTACATTAACAGTCCAAGCTTCAGCAACATAAAAAAATACAGTAGATATAACATTTTACCATAAGATCTTGGATTTGCATATTACCACTTTGATAACTAAAAAATTTTCTCATTTTCAAAAAGGCTGCTCGTGATTGCCCTATTCTTATTTTCTGATTTCCGCTTTAGATCTGCAGTAATCTAGACTCCTAAGTGGTTCATTTTGTCCACTTGTTTAATATCTTTATTTTTTACCTGGATTCTTTTATAACCTTACCCTTCATACTGATAACCATGCTTTTTGATTTCTTTATGTTTATTGTTAACACAAACTGTTCCCCAGTATCACAAATTGTGTTCAGTAGCGTCCGCTACTCTAATAAATCTGATAAGGATGATAAAATGTGAGTTATTTTCCAGTTTTCGTCCGTTTCATTGCTTCCTTGGAGTTTCGCGGTAAATAAGAGAACAGAAGTTAGTAAGTAATGTTGCTAACCATTTTCTTTTGAAGCGACTTTCAATGTGCAATATATGCTGGTGACAATATAATATAGTGTCGCATCCTATGGCACAAAGAAGTTGTTGAAAAATTTCTCAGTGGTTCTCTTAGAGTTACTGGATATATCATAAGCTTTCGTATTTGTCGGAACAACAAACTTTTTTTCTTTCAACTTCACGTCATTGATTCAGAAAAAATTTATAAATAAGACATTGAAAGCCTTTATGTTTTTTTTGGTCAAAGCTTTTACGAAATTTTTCTTCAGTTCCAGCTTTATTTGAAGTGATGGCAGGAAAAATTTTTCTAATGGCAGTAAAGGTTTTTTTAAGATACATTTTTATTCCAGGTATTAACTATGTTTTTGTGGCCAATTCTTTTCTACGTAATGTTTATCAAGTTCTCGACTGTCCTACTGACAAAAAAACTGCTTATATCCTTTCTGTAGTCTATTAAGTATATGTACAATCTTCAGATCAGCTCATTATGCTCTATAGGTATTGCGAATATTTTATTTTTTTCGAGTAATACCTCCAAACTTGTATAATTTATTTTTGTGTTTGTTGCATGAGCGATGGAGAAGAAGGCTATTTATTACCATTATGGCGAAAAAACGGCTTTCAAACTAATCTTAAATCTTAAAAGCATAAAAAAAGTCGTCATTTTTCAAATTTTTGTGGGAAAATCAACGCGTAACGAAACCATGCAGCATCAATACAGCACACTAAGTCATACTCGTTAAAAAAGTAAAATTCTTATCTTGTGCAAAATATGATAGTCTGGTATTCTTATCTAACAAATTACACTGTTTCAATCTTGATTTCAGAATCTTGAATCAGAAAAACAAAGAAACGTTTATTCCATATTGCTATACGAAGTGGAAACATGGACTCTCGGAATTACAAGTATAAGGCGTACAGAAGCCTTTGAGATGTGGGTTTTTCGAAGGATGCTGAAGATCTCTTGGACAGAGCACGTGACCAAAAACGAGATGCTAAGAAAAATGCGTATCTACTGAGAGAGAACTCCTAAATATTGTAAAAACAAAAAAAACGAGTTATCCAGGATATATTTACAGAGAAGAAAAATACAATTTCCCACGACTTAATATGGAAGAGAAAGTGGAGAAGAAGTCCAGGAAGAAGAAAATGCTCCTGATTGAAGAACGTAAGAGACTGGATAGATATGGACACACATTCGATACTAAGAACAGCTTAAGATAGAGAGAAATTTGCTGTAGTTATAACCAACCTTCAGTACTGGAGAAGGCACATTTAGAAGAAGAAATATTGATATAAGTAATTGAGCATTAGATTTTAATAGCCACAAATCAGATCATTTAAATCAGATTTCTAAAGAAAATAAGGGTCTTTTGATATACTTGAAGATCCAGATAATGTATACGAGGATGAGAAAGTACATTCAAAAAGGAAACTCGATTGAGTCTGTAGACCAGAAATATTTTTATCATCCACCTTCTCGTTATATTTTGGAGGTACTGGTCTTTTTTCAGATGCGATGTTTAAATATATATTTTTTTATGATTCAGAAGTTTACTCCAAATCATTAGCATTGCAAACCGTACAGATTTTTGACTTCCTTCAAGCCAACCTCTTAACTTTCTTTGGAAGCTGATACAGCATAATTTTAACTGGCAAATTGTATCCCTTTGATTGACAGGAAATCTAAAATAAAGTTCTCTTAAAGCTCTGATCTTCCTTGACCAGATCTGTTATTACATTTCATTAGTTTTTTTCAGCGTAAATTCACCACAAATGTTACAAAAGCAGTTTGTAAAATTTTTGCAAGTTCGTGGCATTTTATATAATAAGTTTTTTAAAATAATTTTGGTATTTCTATTATCCTTTTATTGGCTCAGCTCTTAGGTAAATAAAATTGAAAGAATATGAACTTTCTGCAAAACTTAACCAAAATATTCGAAACAAAATGTAACCAATTAAAAGAAAAGTTTTTAAGTAACTGGTATCAAATCCCAGCAAAACCTGCGCATGGCCGTATGTACTACTATAAAAATCACTTACGACTCTTTTCATCTTTATTTTACTAGTCGTTAAAACTTATTTTGTATGTAAATACACCATTTATAGTGTTGGTGCAAAAACAAATTCAAAAAATCATAACTTTTAAATATTTAAAAAAATAATAACAGAAAATTTAGACTTGATTGAAAAAATCGGCCAATATCTTCATATTTATAATAAAATTTTATTTTTATTTAGTAGGATTTAGTTGCAGACCAATGTAATTACTCAATAATTGTATTAACAATAATGTTTTAGGTGCTAGCAGCATCGGCAGTGCAGGTAGTTTCGATAAACTGATGAACGAAGAAGATTCGAGATCGAACGAAGGTAGCGGACCACAAACATCTCCGAGGATATCCAAGAAGAACTCCTCTGTAGTAACAAACAACGTCGTGGTGAAAATCGAAGGACGGAGAAACTCGCCCAATTCATGTGATAGAAAAGTAGGAATAAGAAAAATTTCCCCAAGCCCTAGTCATAGTAAAGACATTGGTATCGGCCTGAATGAGAACATTTCTACGAAATCGTCGCCGAAGAGTTCATCGGGCACGCCGGGAATACCAAGTGGACCTCTAAGTAAGACTTACTAATCCAACTTAAACAATATTTTACACTTTTATCTTTTTTAAACTTAAATTTTCCTAACTTAGCTATCCTAGCGCAAAATTTCGGGCCAATGCTTATTAAATGCATTCATTTTTTTTCGAATCCTGAGAAAACTAATTAATATTTTTGAAAAATTTAAACGCAGAATGAAAGATTCCATTATTACTGAGGACCGAAAGTTTCTTAGGATAAACAAAAAGTTTTTTTAATGAGATATTTCAAATTAAAAATCACACTAAATTTTCTCTTTTTTTTTTCACACCTTTAACTTATTAAAATAAACAACATAAGTTTATTTTCATAGTTTTCGAAGTTTTCAGAGCCGTTGGGCCCTCAGTAATACTGTAATTTTTTATTCTGCATTTAAATTTTTCAAAAATACTTATTAGTTTTCTCAGGATTCGAAAAAAACGAATGAACTTAAAAAGCATTGGCTCGAAATTTTGCGCCTACGATCTAAAGCCGCGTTTACACGATGAAAATTGTCTCGTTAATTGTCATTGGACAATTGCCCCGTGGTTGCGGATTGTCGGAGGCCAGTCCAGTTGAATGAGAAGATGTTTATACGGGGCCAACTATTGCCAAAGCAGTAGACAGCTACAAATAATACAAACCACGTGTATGTTTTGACTGACACAAGAGAACTAACAAGAACTGGCAAAAAACAAGTCAGTACTACTGGCCTACACCGTTCACACGGCGCGAATTGTCGCGACAATTGTGATTTCGACTAGTGGGGGGGCTCACTGGGAGCAGCTAATTGTCCTCAGTCTAGTCCCGGAGACAACTGAATTTTGGGCCAATTGTGAGGGCAGTTGGCAAGACAATTGGCCTGAAGTGTTTAGACGAAGACAATAATTTCATACCAGTAAGTTGTCTTCTGACAATTGTCTCGCCAATTGCCATTGTGTAAACGCGGCATTAAGTTATTTCTAACAATAGTGAATTTCATGTTTTCTCCTTTGTCTGCTGTTTTATAATTTAAAGAGAGATTCTTTGTTGGTCTGATTTGTTTTTAGATTATTGTCCTTCAATACCTATGCCTTCGACAACATTTTGCAAAAAACTCAATCCGAATGTATTATCGTTTATAATTTTTTGTTTGTTTCATTTATTTTTATTTATTTGTCGAGATTGCTGTTCACCAGCTACGAATATCTTACAAATAAAATGTTCTGACTGTTTTTATTTCTCCGTTCTTCTGTAATCTAGGATACACTATTTTCTTGTCTTTGTTTTGTTTCTATGTCCAAGTTCTTTACGGTATTTTTATATCGTCCTTCTTTTGCATACCCGTACAAGAATCATTTTCATTTTTCTATTTATTCTGTTTTTAGTGCCCGTTTCACATTCATTAGTTCTCTAATTCGTTTCTTTTTACTTTGTCTTTGCACAGTTTCCTACAAAAATATAACCAAAGAAATTCTTACGAATATATGGAGCAAGTACAAATTTCGTTAAATTTTTACAACTAACAAACTACTTCACTTAAAAGATCTAATTACCCTACATGATCAACCAACCGCTTACGTTTCAATATTCCCTCAATTCCCATCATATCCTACTTAAAATAATTTATACAAGTATAGAATCGAATATACCCACTTAAGTACTTAACAATTAAATCAATTGTACCATACAATAAAAGCTAAAAATTTTCTATCAGCAAACATCGAATATCTCAATGTTTTACGAGATTTAACCAACAACTTAAGTACTCATCGCTTAATCTATGTCTACAACCTTAAAAAGATAAAAACTTGTAGAAGAATAGGCGACAGGGCCTCCCTAGCACCCAGAGTCTTCCGTATTAGCATCTGAAATCATGTTTCAGTTTATAATCACCCACAAGAATCGTGAGAGAAATCATAACCTGATCAATACCGATGTAAACAAAGATCTTGCTAAACAATTAAATAGAAGAGAGCCTTACTTAATTTGAATTATCATTCATAGAAGTCTCCCGTATAATAGTTTGTTCTAGCAATATCCCGTGAAACTTCTTCAAAAACTCAAAGAAATCTTTAACGGTATTATAATAGATAAAGAAAGACTGCGTTTCAAAATTTGTAAATCAAATAATAGAGTTCCTATTCTTCTGAAATACTCGAGATGTTATTAAAGCGGATATCCTAACAGAGATAACTCTAGAAAAGTCATTCTCTGTCCCAATTACAGACGACAATACAACTTTTTTTGTCTCACAACAAATACTGATAAAAATCTCAATTGCCAAGGAAACATTCATGCCTTTACTTTTAAAGATCTTATATGCAAAGCTCCACCTGCCTATTCCTAACAACAAAACCTGCTACAACGACTAAACAAACCTGTTATATGTATATACCAACTCTCCTTGGATATAAAGTTTATAATTCAGTTTATATTTATGAATATTTTTAACGTTTTCCCTATAAAAAGGAAATGACGAGACTTTGAGGAAACTAGAGGCTTTGGACCTTAAAATCGTTCTCATAGTACGTTCCCTTACACTCTTCAGGACTCTACCATACAAATCTATTTATCCTTCACTTTATATTCTCTGTATTGAGTACCCTTGCCTATATGCCTTAAGATTCGCCTAGCCACATATGTTACAACGTTCTTCGTAGTTTTATTTCCACGTTTGAACGTTTTCCCTATAAAGAAAAATGACGACACTTTGAGGAAACTAGGAGCCTCCATTGGGCCTTACATCGTCCTTATAGCACCTTGCCGTATACTCTTTAGGACCCTACCATACGAATCTATTTACCTTTCACTTAATACCCTCTATAATGAGTGCCCTTACCTATACGCCTTAAGAATAGCCTTCAATTACATTAAAGATTGTCAGATTGTTTTTTTATGGTTTCCTAATCTTATTGCGCAACGATACCTGTTCTAGGTGATGAACTAGCCACAGATGTTATAACTTTTTTCGTAGTTTTATTTTCATATTTTCTATTACATCATTATGTATATTACCATTCTGCAATGATTTTGATGTAATAAATATTGAATGTGATACCAAACAGAACGTTTATTAAACTTTTTTACTTTTTAGGTTTGCCCACTAATATGGTATACCAGCAAATTCCACGATCATCCCCTACTACTGCAACAGCGATAGCTTCTGCTACTGTAACAATCCAGAATATTCCTAACGCCATTCCACCGTTCGCCTCCAGAGGTGTATCTAGTACACACTTTCCTAATCAGTACAACATGAACAACAGTCAGCACGACTATCGGACGGACAACAGATCTAAGCACTACCAGATGTCGCAGATGTACTCAGTAGATATGTACAATCAAGAACACGGCGGAATGAATGACGCACATACGTACCATCGAGGGCAGAATCATACTGGGACTATGGGACATGTTAAATATAATAACAGAAGGCAAGCCTACTCTGGATATGCTAGCCAACAGCAGTACTATTATAATAATCAGTCTAATGTTGAAAAGTATACTATGGGACAGAACAACTATAATCAAGGCTATGGTGAACATTCTGGCTACAATCATTACGGTTATGGCTACAATAATGAGGGTAATGAAGCAGTTCAAATGCAGAGCTCTGTCCAACTTAACCATGACCATACTGCTAACTACTACCCAACAGAAGCCGTTATTCCGAAGACGCAAAACCCAGCTGAGTACCAAGGCAAAGTAGGATATTACGAGAACAATTACACTTCAAACCACATGCCACCTGCTACAGGAGGCGGAACTGACCCTGCCTATGGTATGGGTACTGAAGTCTTTCCTGGTACTAATAATGGTACCGCTGCAATTATGACGCCACCTGCAAGTGTTCCGACAGAAAACAATGAGAATTATAACAATTTTCATCAGTTTTATGCAGGGGAATCCCAAACTCAAGTTCCAGTTCCCGGTGAAAGTAGTAATAGTTCTTCGGATTTTAATTTTTTAAGTAACTTAGCGAACGATTATACTCCCGAATATTATCAAATCTGATCAGTGCAATTAAAAAATGTACAGTTAGCTGTTAATATTTTTGATTATTGTTAAAGTTTATTGGTTTTACTTAAAGTTTTCGTTGTTTATTTCTTAAGTAATTCCGTTTATATTTAATAGGTTTGTTTAGCAGACAACAAAGCATAACAGTGAATTAGTAAAATAAGAATAAGTAGTTGGTCTGAAGATGATTAAAGTAATTTTTCAAATAAACAAAAGTTATTTATCGTTCCAACGCAATAAATTCCACGATCACCAAGTTATCATTAATTTACTGCAGTACCTATTCGTTATATCACCATGGTAACCATCATATTTGCGAGAGTTCTTCACTAAAATAAAATTTTTAAATTTCTTTTCTATGAAATTTTCTCCTCTCTTATTCCCCTCTTTAGTAGTTTTAATAGAATACAGTAATATTGATTAATAATAGCATACAAGAAAACTACTTATTGAAGTAGTTCTTACCCTATATTTATTTCTTGGGACATGTTTTGTTGTATCGCTAACAAAAATTTATAAATTTAAAACGGAATTATTAATACGCTCAAATTCTAACTCAAATATGATTAAGTTATATCTGGCTAAACCTAACACTGAAAACTTTTTTTGTTTTCAACACTTCAACCAAATTTATTATCACTACAGTTGTTTCGACAGAGTGCCTTTTTCAAGTGATCCATTTTTGGTATGCGTTTTCGCTTTAGAATCTTCAGCTGAATAAGTTAAGGGGAGAACGGTTCTTGTTGGGTACAATAAACACAATTTTAAAATAAAAACAACATACAAAGGCCTGAAATTAGTATTCCCACCACTAGAAAAAAAGCAAGTATCTTCAGCTCGATTACATATACAGGCAAGATATCGACAAAAATAGCCAAACAAATAAAAAAGATAGGAATAACACCAGCTGTCACAAACAAATGTTGGAACAAATAATAACTTAAGTAATTATATTAAAAACAACAAGATCCAAAAAAAGCACTTACACTGTGATGTATACAAACTTAAATGTGGCAACTGCCCAAAAACTTACATCGGTCAAACTGGGAGAACTTTTAAAAAACGTATAGCAAAACACGAACAGCGTTTCAGTAATACAAAAATAATTCTACGCACTTCACACTTTGGCAATATCTTTGTTTATTGACCAGGCTATTATTTCATTTCTTCGGTCCTGAAGTGTCATGTGAAGTATCTATTATTCAGAACTAAGGGAACAATGTTATTTAACGAAATGGTTGCGACATGATTTGTTTTTTTGAAAAACTGGTGTTTGTACACTGTTCACTAAGTATTTATACAATATTAAAAGTTAACTTTTGAAATCGTTTAAATCTTTTTATTTTAACGACCTTTTTTTATTTCTTCTTTGTACGAAAATTGCCTATTTTATTCTTATATATGTGTCCTATTCCGTGTTTAGTTCATTATTCCAATGCTTTTGTGGCTCATATATGCTCATATGTTGTATAAATTATTTATTTGGACTAATTCTTGTTAGCGGAGTTCGCCAGAGAGATGTTATCTCACCAATGCGACTCAAACTTGGACTGGAAGACGTGTTCAAAGAAATCAACTGGACAGATAAAGGAATAAATATTAATGGAATAAAACTGAGTCATTTAAGATACGCTAATGACATTGTAATATTCGCTACAAATTTTTAAGAATTGTTAGACTATGATGACGCAACTATTTCAAGCTTCGGAAAAAGTAGATCCTAAGATAAACTTGAAAAAACAAAAATAATGACAAATACACCGAACATTCGAGAAATAACGTTGAACGTCATGAATTTTGAAGCAGTAAGCGAATACATAACACCATAGTATTTGCGGACAACTTAGAAAACGTACAAGTTCTTATGAACAAAATCACATATTACAGTCAACAATATGGACTCAATATAGACGTTAAGAAGGCAAGGCTTATGATAATTATTAGCAAGAAGAAGATAACAGAAGGTCAACTTTATGTCAACAAATTCCCTGTAGAAAGAGTGACGCACTACAACTACTTCAGTACCATAATAAATGAATAATGGACCAACAACGAGGAGATTAGAGCACGCATCTAAAATACTAGATCGACTTTTAATCGGATAGAGGCCTTCTTCAAGAGTCACAACCTCTCTCTTGATACAAAATTAAGAATGATGCGATGCTACGTCTGCTCTATCCTTTTTTATGGTGTTGAATCGTAGACCTTGAACGAAGATATTGCAGAAAACTTGAAGCATTTAAGATGTGGCCACCATCAAATCTCAAAAGTTACAATTCTTCGGACATATTATGCGAAATGATTCCATATATTCTCTCCTTCAAGTCATACTGGAAGGAAAAATATTTGGAAAACGGGAAAAACGGTCCAGGAAGAAGAAGAACGTCTTGGTTAAAAATTCTTAGAATCTGGTTCAGTACAACATCAGTGCAGTTTTTTCGCGCTGCTGCAGATAAGATACAGATTGCCATAATGATCGCCAACATTCGTAACGGATAGGCACATCAAGAAGAAGCGAATACATCTACTTGGCACAGATAATAAAAGTTAACAAATAATATTACATCATCATCATCATATAACGGGGGTCCTACGGCGATTGCCGCTTCCCGCATTTCAGCCTCCATCTTTTCCTATCTCCCCAATCTCCCTCTTCTAGGCCTCTAGATTGCATTGTTTTTGTAATTTCTCTTCTCCAGGAATTTGGTGGTCTTCCCCTTTTCCTTCTTTCTGGCGGAACATACATTAAGGCTTTCTTTGGCCACCGCTCCTCCTCCATTCTCATCACGTGACCATACCATTGTAATTGCCTTCCTTGTATTCTATCTGAAAGAGTATCTCTAATTCCTGTACGGTTTCGTATTTCCTCATTCCTGATTCTTTCCATTCTCGATACTCGACATGACCTTCTAAGATAATCCATTTCCACAACGTCTACTTTATCTCGTTCATTCTTTGTCATCGTCCAACATTCGGCACCATATGTGGTAATTGGTTCTACAATTGCTCTGTATAGGCGAAGTTTGGTATGCATCTTTATTTTATTAGACCACAGTAATGAATTCAGTATTCGAATGCATTTTTCCCTTGGGTTATTCGGTTTTGTACATCTATCTTAACTCTGCCATCTGCTGATATGATGCTTCCTAGATATTTATACTGGTTGCAGCCTTTTATGACTGCGTTTTCAAGCCTGAGATCTGTGGTATTTCCTCCAATTTTTAAATATTCTGTTTTGCTTATGTTTACAGTAAGCCCCCATTTGGCATATTCCTCAAATAATTTTCGATTCATATAATTTATATCTTCCTCATCGGTTGCAACCACCACCTGATCATCTGCAAACAACAATGTATACAGAGTTTCTTGTCCCACTTCGATGCCCATAAATCTACATTTATTTCTCCAATTCCTCAATGCTTCTTGGACGTATATTTTAAACAGTGTCGGTGACAAACAGCATCCTTGCTTTAGGCCTTTAGTGACTTTAAATTCATTTGAGGTTCTGGTTCCAATTTTTACACAACTAACTGCATTTTCGTACAATTTATATATCGCTCGGATATACGTCGAATCCAATCCGGACCTTTTGAGGACCTCAAACATTTTCTTTAACGGGACACTATCATATGCTTTCTCAAGGTCTATAAATACCAAATGGTCTCTCCACTTCTTTCGACACGCTTTTCAATTATTTGTCGTAGGATAAATATATTATCAAGGCAGGATCTCCCGGTACGAAAGCCGCTTTGTTCTTCAATATCTTGTATCTGTCTTTCAACCCTCTTCTTTAATATTCTGCCGTACAACCGGCCCACAGAGCTCGTCACACTAATACCTCTATAATTGGAACAGTCTCTTTTATTCCCTCTCTTATATATGGAGCTTATATAAGATTTATTCCAATCTTTAGGAATTTCCTGGTCTCTACATATACATTTATTGAAAAGGTCTACTATTAATTCTAAAAGTGCAGTCGGCCCATATTTAACCAGCTCTATGGGAATGTCTCCAGGCCCTGCGGCTTTTCCGTTTTTAACCTCTTTTAAGGTTTCCGTCAATTCAGATAATGTTATTATAGGGATTTCCTGTCTTTCGTCTCTGTTGTCTATTAATTCCCTTATCTTTTCCCATCTGTACTCTACTCTATCCTCTTTCAGCAGTTTCGTATAATATTCTTCCCATTCATTTAACTTTATGAGAGAAATGTTGTCTTCCTTTTTCTCATTTTTCCTAAACTGTTTTAATGTTTTCCAAGCTTGCGCCACTTTTGTTCCACCCATAAATCTGTCCAGTTCATCACACTTAGCCTCCCAGTTTATATTTTTCGCCTTATCCACGTCTTTTTTAACTTCTCTATTCCATTTAGCGTATATTTCTCTGTCTTCAGGATCTTTGGATTGAAGCCATATGTGATATGCTTGTTTTTTCTTGAGAACTTTCTCTTCTAGTTCCGTTGACAACCATTCAGGTTTTCCTTTTTTTCGATTTTCAACTTTTCCCAGTGCTTCATTTGCCGCTTCATGAATATATTTTTTAATTACCTCATACAGACTTTCGGGGTCTAAGTCCTTTGTTTCTATATTTTTTATTTTCTGAGCTATTCTAATTTTATATAAGAACTTTGTCGAATCTTGTTTAAAGCTTTCCAGGTTATATTTTATGTTTTCTATGGTTGTTCCTATGTCTGTTACTTCATCATTTTTGTGACTTGATTGTTCTCTCTTAAATGTCACCATTACTTTTGCAATAATCATATGGTGGTCACTTTCACATTCTGGCCCTCTAAACACCTTCACGTCCTTCGTTTTTAGTTTAGAATCTTTACGATGAATGAAATAGTCAATTATTGATTTTAAATTCCTGGTAGGCTGCGTCCATGTAAATTTATGTATATTCTTATGGGGGAAGAAACCATTTAATATTTTCAAAGAATGTGCCTCGCAAAAATCTATTAATCTTTGAGCATTGTCGTTCAGAATGTCTTCTCCATATCT